CTTCCGATCTGGCAAACTTATCTGTACCCGATAGGTTTTGCCGAGGCGATGATTCATAGTTATGCTAAGATCCGACTGCCTCACTAGACCACTAGTGGTCGTAAACGCGAATGTGGATTATGAGGTCCTGAGTTTAAATCCCGGGTCGGGTCAAACTCAGTTATTTGGTTTTTACCCATAATTTTTTAATAGCAGCCCGGAATCACGAAATTGGCGGCGTTTCACCCCCGCGACTCGGAAGCACGTAAAACCGTTGGCCTTGCGCCTGATCTCCGGTCGTGCCAGATCGCCGTCAAATTGTTGTTATATTTCAATAAAAAAAAATATTGACATCAATTTAAATTTGGAATTCCAAGTCAAATACAATAACTATCGAACAATCGAACAAACTAGCCAGTTTTAAAAATGTGTTGTAAAAAATCGTAAGCTTTTTAACGAAATGGCAACGCACCATACGATCGCCTCGTGCAAAGCATGCGGAGGTTCATGTAAGGCGGAGTCTATCAGGGAGGGTCACAGAAACCGCGAACCTTGGGTTTCCAATCTCAGCTGGAGCTCTGTGTACTGATAAAAATTGTCACGTTATACATTTCTATATTTTATGAATGTCCTTTTGTTTATAACAATAAACCGCCTAAGCATTAGTATACCTTAGAACTCGCTGCAAATGTATTTAAGGGCAAATACACTTGAAGGGCAACAGCTGTGCAAATTCAAGGTCAAAAACGCACCTGCATCCTTACGCCGCACCCGGGTAAAACAACTATTGTTTGGTATAAGTGCAAACTAAGAGATATGTACATAGAGCATTATAGTGTTGTGAGTTGTGACGATACGATGTCGAGGTTTATCAACGTTTTGACGACCACGTGACTTATAGTGGATATCACTTTTTACTTACAGATTCTGAGGTTTGAATTCTAGCCAGAGTTAAAAAAGGTAAAGTAACAATGACACACTTAAGTTGGTCAAGACCCCATGCTGGATTTTACAATGTTTTTTCTTCGCTGTAAATTACGGTCTATCTTATATTAGTAATGGTGACAAACGAGCCACACGGTCCATGTGAATAATGTTTTTTTTTAAAATAGAATATGGTGACAAACGAACACACAGTCTACCTAATAGTAGTGGTTGCTGTGGCCCATTGACATCTATGTTAGATGCGCTGTCACCCGTGAGGACTAAGATGGAATGCCTCGTTTCCAGTAAAAACGAAATGCGATGCCTTAAGCCACTTTTTACTTGCTCTTTTACTATTTTTATTCAAATTCTAAACTGATCACACTGTGTAGTAGACGGCTTAAATTAGCTTAAGCTTAAACTATAGCAAATATTCCTTCTGAGGCTCTATGGGGGAGGCCTATGTTCAGCAAAAGTTCGAAAAAAGTTCTTAAAATACAAATATCGTTGGTTTCGAATCTGATAAGGTTGCGATAATTATTTATTTCTTGCCTTGTACCCTAAATTGCCTACACGCGACACTGATAGGTTAGCACAAATACCTTTTACGAAGTCCACTCTCACCACCACCTTTACCCCCCTTATTCATAAACATTTTTAAACACTTGATTAGTTAAATAGTGTTTAGTCACTTTCTAGCAACAAGTGTCTCGCAAATGACAGAATGAGACAAAACACTATTTAACTAATCAAGCATTTAATTTTTTTTTATGAATAAGGGGGTATGTTAAAAAATAGGTACAAAAATTGTGCTAAATACATTCGTTTTTATTAACTTGCTCTTTTGTTCACTCGTTAGAAAAACGGCAGCGCATTATTATAGTCGTGACAGAAAGACCGGAAAAACAATAGTTTAACGAAACATGTTGTTATGATAATACCGAATTTCGAACGTCAAAATGCTATTTACATAACAAGATTAACGACACATTTCAGACAAGGATGTATCGATATATTTATTAATGGCAAAACATCAATAAAACACACCGCATGGTTGCTACGATCGAATCAATCACCCCTTCCTGCAATTTTCTTTATTCAATCAAAGGTCACAAACAAGTTCACAGATGGTAAGTAGTTGCTATAGAATATAGATATCAAGAAAGTATTCACAAAGGAGTCCTGCTTACGAATCCGTCTGGGTGACAGAAATGGTATGTGAATGGTACCCCCATTCACATACCATTTCAGTCACCAAGTAGCATTGCTTGCTCTTCTGTGTTCTGGTCTGAAGGGAATAGAGAGCCAGTATAATAAAAGACTATGAGGCATTCCATCTTTATCCTCAGAGGTGACAACGCATCTATATCCTACTTTGTTTGAAGTTGGCTGCATGTGACTAAGATGGCCTCACCATACGAAAGACAGCAGCGTAATGTTGCTATTTTACGCTAGTATTCCGCGCAATCAAGCATTTCATTTTTGTGTTTATTTTGCATTTTTACGAGATAAAGTCACGCTGCAGCTATATTATGGGTCGGCTCGACCGGGGTAGGACCACGCTCTCACAGAATACCATCGTAAAATAGTGGCTTAATGCTGTTATGTTTCTTATGGTGAGTGTAGAGAACCGAAGACCCCTTTTACTGGAATCGAGGCATTCCATCTTAGTCCTCAATGGTGACAACGCATTTGCATTTTGATTTTTAATTGAGAATAAATGTGGATGTCTATGTGACACGGCATCCACTTACCATCAGGTGGACTGTGCGCTCGTTTGTTACCCAATGCTATAAAAAATCATGGTCCTTCCCTGGTAAGGCTGACATATTGGTGCTGCATCCACAGTACAGCTGCAGTGTCTCCACCGCGTTTCGTTATACGTAAATATTTCTTCAATCAGAACGTTGACCTAAGACCTTCGCATGAATACAATGACAATTAACTGTGATCCCGATCACACCGATTATTGACGTACCTCTGTTTAATGGCCGACTTAACATAGAAATTGTAAAGGAAGTAAACTTGCTGCCTAGTTGTATATCCCATTATTATATTACAGATCCTTATTTTATAAAACTGTTACCAGTAATAACTGATTAGTGATTCTACTGTAAAATTCATTCTTATGAAAGAAGGATATTATACATTAGATAACTAATTAACACCACCACCAATTCTATACGTGGTACAGCCCCGCTGCAGCTATATTATGGTTGTAGCACGAATGGGTCGGCTCGACCGGAGAAGGACAACGCTCTCACAGAATACCAGCGTGAAATAGCAGCTTAATGCTGCTGTGTTTCGTATGGTGAGTGTAGAGAGATCCGGAGACCCTTTTTACCGGAAACGAGGCATTCCACCTTAATACTCAGGGGTGATAACGCATCTGCGTTTTGATTCTTAGTCGAAATAGATGTTTATCAATAGTTGATAAATGTGAATGTCTATGGGCCACAGCATCCACTTACCATCAGGTGGACTGGGTGCTCGTTTAAAAAGGAAGTTGAATTGATCGATAGTTTTCTTAGCTATGATTCAAGAAAACCTTTTCGGCCGTTTGAAGAATATCACCTCCTTTAGTTTCGGGTTTTTTTTTTTAATTTTTTAATATACCTAAGTACAAAGGTTTAAAACATTTGACATACCCGATACGGCAGACTTGCAACAAAAACAAATTATATAAAAAAGCAGTAAGTTACCTTAAGGTGAACCGTGTACTATGACATCCTTAATTTATAAAAACTACGCTTTAAACTATACGTAAGGACCTCTAAATGAGGTCATAGTCAAGGCGTTTAAGTTATTTACTGCATTCTCATGGCATATCTGAATGTTGCAAAATAACATATTAACATAATTCACATATTATATATTTGTGATTATAAAAAACCGGTCATATCATACATATCATTTCGCAGTAATAAATGAACACAAATTTTCTAGTTAACGAATGCTTCGACTGAGCAAGGACAACGTTCTCACTGGTTAACAGTGTAAATTGTAAAATAGCAGCGTAATGCTGCTGTGTTTCGTATGGTGAGTGTAGAGAACCGGAGACACTTTTTATTATGGATGGAGTGACGACCTGGTAAGATATGCAGGATTTTGATGAATGCAGAGGGCTCAGAATCGTACTTTGTGGCATTCCTTGGAGGAAGCCTGTAATCAACAGTGGACTTGTGAAGGGGTGATGATAATGATGATGATGACAGTATTAAAACAAGCGAATGTTTGTTTGATGATTTGTGCTCCTTTTATGCAGTAACGGGACAACGGATCGACAAGATTTTCTGCAAAGAAAGAATTTACGAGGCGGAGAGTGACTTGAACTATTTCCCATCCAGGAAAAAAGCACGGTTTTGCGGGATAGATCTGGAGCGAAATTCATCTTTAAGCTATCTTTTTTATATAGGACAGTGTGACAAACATGTACACAATCCACCTGATGGTAAGTGATTACTGTGATCCATAGACGTCTACATCTATCCTCGATTACGAATCAAAATGCAGATGCGTTGTCACCCCTGAGGACTAAGATAGAATGCCTCTTTTCCAGTAAAAGAGGTCTCCGGTTCTCTACACTCACCATACGAAACACAGCAGCATTACGCTACTATTTTACGCTGGTATTCTGTGAGAGCGTGGTCCTTCCCCGGTCGACCGACCCATTCGTGCTACAACTATACTACTAATTTAACTGCAGCATGGCTCTACCAAGTACAATATCGAAAATTTCGGATATTTTTTTTAAACTGTTTATTATCGGATGATGATCCCTTCTGGGGACTGTGTGCTCGTTTGCATATAAATATCAATAAATAAACTTATATATAAAACTCCGATATTTGATATATTTATAATAATCGATACATGGAAAATCCGATATTTTAAAAAAATATCAACAGTCCTAGTTTGAACTGATCAGTTGGAATGATGAGTTGAACTAACCGTGTGTGTCGTCCATTAGAAATCTCGTTTAGCAGCGATACGCGGAAAAAATTAGAATAAACCGTTAATTAATTACACGTAATTACTATGTACGAAAAAAGTTCAAGAACGATTTACTAGAAGTCATTAAATAAATTGTTACTTACCTGATGTATAGTGATAACATCAGCCTGTTGTGTCATTTTAAACGAGCAACAAAGTGAAGACTTAAAATCGAATATCACAGATTGAATAAATAACTTAGTTAAATACTAACTACAACATATCAATCACTATTCATCATCTACTTCCAAATCTAACAAACGCGAAAGCTTATCTAACAAATCCTTCAGAATGTAATCGAAGATTTTGTATATAATTATATTGTAATAAATTATAACGAAAGAGAACGCGATTATTATGCGTACATCGTAGACGTACATATGCAGGACACGTCCGCGCGTCGCGGCGTTTACGTTGCGAATGAACGAGCGCATTCGAAAGTTGAAAAGGATGCGTCTGAGCAATTGATAACATTAAATCGGTATAAGGATGATAACACACTTGCGTCTCACAAGTATTAACAATGTGGACTCATCAATATTTTTTTATAATTGTTATCTCCGAAAGGAATGAGTTGGAATCGTACAATCAGATCAAACAGGTTTTTCAATTAATTTAAAGAAATGTGCGTTTCTTACCAACGAAATAGAATACCTAGGTAGGATTATAAGAGATGGTCAGGTTAGACCGAGCAATCATAAAATTGATGCATTAGTTAAATCACCACGATCGAGTAATATCAAACAGGTTCACCAATTTCTTGGCCTCGCAGGGCACTTCCGAAGATACATTCCCAAAGCGCAAATCGCCGCTATAACTAATAATGGAGACATCTTTAATTGGAGCGAAGAACACGAAAATGCACGTCAAAATATCATTTCTTATTTAACTAATGTAGCAATTTTGGCAATATTCAATAAAACAAAGTTACCATGTTAAGTGCTTTGTGACATTCCTTGGGGATTCCTATGTTCAGCAGTGGATTTGTAAATGGCTGTAATGATGATGATGATGTTAGAAGCAGATTGGTGTTTAATGACGGCGTAAGAACAACTACTACACCTTGTCATCCCGCGGGTTCGTAAGCGGTGACAGCCAGAAACCGAAACATGCCATGGGCGTCCTTAGAACAACTTTAAAAAAAATTGCAGTCGCCAACCCCCCAGTCAAGTTTGGCAACCATGGTTATCATCTTCCCTATGAGATATTCTATGGGGGAGTAAGGATCCTATGTTCGGCAGTGGGCTTATCATAGGATGTAATAATTGGTGCTCCGTTAATATTGTTTAAATAACAATAGTTAGAAGTGGGAGTCATATGTAGGGTTGCCAGGTCTTAAAATCGAAAAACCGGACAGACTAGCGAGCTTAGCAGGACATTTTGGTAAAAAGGCCGGACACCCTTATTTTTGGTCTTCGTAAAAGACATTTTTTAAAGTAAAACAATGATTTTTATCATTTACCGTAAAATCTTAAGTTCTAAAACAACAACAACAACAATTAAACAAATCAGTTTTCTTTGTTATTAATTATTCCATATTCATTATCATATTAATTTTAATCATTGCAATAGTATGTATGTAAGTATATGAAAAATGTAAAGAAATTATCAAATTTAAAAAGCCTAACAAAAGCCGGACTAAACTTTACAACTTTAACAAAAGCCGGACGGGCCGGACACAGTCTAATTTGGTCGGACACGTAACCAAAAAGCCTGACTGTGCCCGGCTTTTTCCGGACGCCTGGCAACGCTAGTCCTTGGGAGGAGGCCGATATACAGCAGTGAACATTTAAAGACTGTGGTGATAATAATGATGAACGGTTTTGAGTGGTGTTTGATGCTTAAAAGTGGTACAATTTGTGTATTAAATGTCTGTACATATGAACTATTAGTGGAAACAACGAGAGGTGATGTGAACCTTAATAAAACAATGACACTATTACACAATGACAACCCACACCAAATGGGACAAGCACCAGTAGGATAACAGATGGAACGCGTCGCACCCATAAGCGAGCACGACACGCTCAGCACACACCGCTTACACACCGTACACCCGCTTACCTAGCCGGTTCTTACCGCACAGAACATCGGCCGACACGAGCTAATCTGTCAGAGGCGAGGGTCCGCACTCCTCCACTTGGACAGCGGTTAGACAGCTCAAGAACCACCACAGAGACTCGATGATTGGTAACAATACCAAATCATAAATCATCATCATCGTCATCGTTACCTTCATTGGCCTTTAAATACCCTTTTTAATCAGCAGAGTCAGAAGAATCGAAAAATGTGCCAAATTTCGCGGAGAATACTTCGAAAAGCAATAAATACATTTTTAAATAGTAATGTTGTGTCACTTTCTTGATTCTCGAAATTTTCAGTGCCGCCCTCGTACAACCACTAGACCAACGAGGCAGTCAAAGTATAGGGATATTTCTTATTAGGTATTTGACACTGACATAAGTACAAAAGTAAAAAAAATTTTTGGAAATGGAAAAGAATTGTGAATGAATGAATTGATATATGTATTATTTTTTTGGAAACTAGCGATCTGCCCCGGCTTCGTACGAGTGATTTCTGGATCTCGACAACAGCGCCACCTACCGGGCCCAAATGTGAATTTAAGCTATCTACGGACCCACAAAAAATTTCATCAAAATCAGTGAAGCGTTTTTGAGTTTTCGTGAGACTCACGGACTACAATCGATTTTTATCTTTAGCAATTGAAGTTTTATGTTTTTGTTTTCTTGCGTCAAACATGTAGTAAAAAGCGATAATTTAAAGTTAGTAAAGTAAGTAAAGGTGAAGTGATTTATCGCGATGTGCTAATGAAATTAAACAGGTCTGAATGATCACAACACATTAATAACATAAAACATTTCTTGCTTTATTCGAATTATATCTAATGTCGGGTTTTTAGTTTAAGAGGCTTGTCAGGGTTAAGTTCGAACCTTCTACACTGTTTCTGGATATCGGAAATGTGTTTTGAATTAATTACGATGAAAATGAGTTTTAATACAAATTGATTATAACCAAACGCAAATATGTCATTTTGTTCTAGTATTATGAAAAAGACGTCCGGTACTTGATTTTGATTATGTTTTCAGTTTAGAAAGCATGTCAGAGTTAAACTTGAACATTTCACATTGTTTTTGGAAAGCGGAAATGCGTTTTGAATTTATTACGATTAAAATTTCACTAAAAATTGCTTATTATAATGAAATTCAAATATGTCAATTTCGTCTAGTATTAAGACGCACACGATCGTTTAGGTGGTATTTTATTATAGGATAGGGTGACAAATCAGCACACAGACCAACTGATGGTAAGTGGTTGCTGCGGCCCATAGACATCTACATCTATCCTCGATTACGAATCAAAATGCAGATGCGTTGTCACCCGTGAGGACTAAGATGGAATGCCCCGTTTCCAGTAAAAAGGGTCTCCGGTTCTCTACACTCACCATACGAAACACAGCAGCATTAAGCTACTATTTCACGCTGGTATTCTGTGAGAGCGTGATCCTTCCCCGGTCGAGCCGACCCATTCGTGCTACAATTATACTACTAATATAGCTGCAGCATGACTCTACCACATATAAAATATGTTATGTATATCAGGGTCCTTGAACCTTTTATACCGTTGTAGGATTTCGGAAACTAACTAAAAATTGCATTTAGCGAAACGGGTCACACATAAGAAAGTTATTTGTGGCTGAAGATGGCACTCATATACAACAAATTGAGTCGCAGTTGAGAGCAGTGAAGAGGTTTTTCAGATAACAAAATTATAACAATTCATATTACATTGTTTCATTTATACTATCATAGCAGAGTTTAGGGCAACTTTACTTTACAGATAAGATAGGTTGAACCTGTACTAAAAGCGAATCAGAACGCCCCGACTCCACGTAGTCTTGTCTGCCCTACCCCTAGAGTGGTTTTGCAAAGCCGTAGACGCGGAGGGAGAGCTTTTGGATTTTCCAAACTAAATATTATTGATTGTTTACGCAAATACAACGTGGTTTTAGGTAATTTTCCCGGTTTTATTGCGATTAATTAACATATTTTTATATATTTCCACCGTGTATGGGTTAATACGTCTGAGGTCACCACGTTAGACGTATTAACCCATATAATAACATAGGTGCTTTGAGAGGCGTCAGAAACTTAAACAGGAGACTGACATTACCATCTACGTCATGACAAATAAATAAAAAAACTGCGTTTGACAGTTTGGACACAAAGACAGAGAGACAATTTTTTTTAATTATTTATACATAAATAATAAAATAACCCCTTGAGCTTAACGGGAGCCAGTTATTTCAATATAATAGGGAAAACTTAAATTTTACTTGTATGTATAGAATAACGTTACACGTGGTAGAGCCATGCTGTAGCTATATATTAGTAGTATAGTTGTAGCCCGAATGGGTCGGCTCGACCGTGGTAGGCCACGCTCTCACAGAATACCAGCGTAAGATAGAAGCTTAATGCAGCTGTGTTTCGTATGGTGAGTGTAGAGATCCGGAGACCGTTTTTTACTGGAAACGAAACATTTCATGCTAGTCCCCAGAGGTGACAACGCATCTGCGTTTTGATTCTTAATCAAGGATAAATATAGATGTTTATGGGCCACAGAATCCACTTACCATCAGGTGGACTGTGTGCTCGTTTGTCACCCTCATTTTATTTAAAAAAAAAACTAACGACCCACCCTGTTTCGCCTGGGTCGGATCTATCCATGTCGTGTTATTTAGATTTATTATAGACATCAAAGATAGAATTCATTTTATCAATTTACATACATAAACACTCACGCCTGTCACCCAGAGGGGTAGGCAGAGACTACAGACTTCCATTTGGCACGATCCTGACACACCTCTCTCGCCTCCTGCACATCCATACACCTACGCATACATGCTCGTCGGATAAGGGTACTCCTAATTTGGCCCGTTTTCAATAAATCGCCAACTTGGTCGATAAATTTTCGCCTAGGACGTCCCTTTCCGACTCTGCCATTCACTTCTGCAACATAGATTTTCTTTGTCACTCTTTCCTCATTTATTCTGTCCACATGACCAAGCCACCGAAGCATTGCTTTCTTAATCCTGGTCACAACATCATCTTGCAAACCACAC